ATTCTGACCCACAGCACCCCTAGAGGACAGAGTGGAACTGCACCACAGGGTCTCCAAGGCTGTCATCTTTACAGAAGCAAAGCCCAAACCACACCCACTGCTGTGGAGTCCATTCTGACCCACAGCGCCCCTAGAGGACAGAGTGGAACTGCACCACAGGGTTTCCTAGGTTGAAATCTTTATGGAAGCTGACTGCCTCATCTGTGTGTCATGGAGCGGCTGGCAGGTTTGAACCTGTGACCTTCTAGTTAGCAGCCAAGTGCTGTGCACCACCAGGGCTCTTTCTTCAGGTGCTCGTCCATCTTCTACCTGACCCCCGCCCTCCACGTCTTATTATTAGCTCAGCCCTCTGAATTTACCCCATCGCGGTCATTGCCTTGTATGGTTTGAGCTTTGTTATTTAATGTTCCATGTTGGAACATTCTAGAAGGACTGTTGTTCTGCGTCCTCATTTCCGTGTGTCTGCCTGTTTTCCAGGGCGTTGAATGAGATGTGGAAGTGTCAGAACCTGCTGCGACATCAAGTGAAGGACCTGCTCGACTTGATCAAGCAGCCCAAGGTACGTTCCATTCCAAGGGGTGTTTTCCCGTGATGTTAAGTTTCATAAAACTTGTGCATTTTATTTATTTACTGTGTACCATTGCTCTGTGTGTTGAACAGCTAGTTCTTTGCCAACAGTTTTAACCTGTGATCCCTGACTTAGAAAACTTGAATTTTTAAGACCCTTTCACAATAGGTCATTCGGCACGTTCACGCTGTCTGTAAAAGGCGGATTCCGCGAGGAATATCAGGTGCTTCCCTGTGCTCAGTGTAAGGGTGTTTATTTATTGTTTTTGCAGCTTTAAAGTTAGGGAAACAGAGCTCAGCAGTATTGACAGCACAGAAGACAGAATGAAGGGACACTTGATCTTCTCACCTGAAGAGGCTCCCGTCAGCTCTGAACGGCCTTGTACTTTCAGAAGGTCTCAGTAGTCACAGAATGCTGGTTCGCGGGCTAGGTAGTTTTCCTTGAGATTGTCACGGTGATTTTCAGTGTGACTTGATCTTCCTCACGTAACGTGCTGTGCATGCAGTGCGTGGATCATGTTCTGTTTCGGGTCCTTTGGAGTGATTCTCATCGTTCGACTTCTGTGCGCCACCCCCTTCTTGGAGAATGCTGTGTGTGGAAGTGTAGGGTATCGTTCGTGAACAACGCAGCATGGTGAACGGCATTTCAAGGAACACAGTGTAGCGGTGATCTGAATTTCTGTTTCAGTAACAGGTCCCCCCTCCAGCACCCCCTCACGTTCATGGCAGAGCGCCACCGTGCCATCTAAGGGAATGTGCAGGTGCCAGTGTGCTCTGAAAATCAGGAAGCTAACTCCTGCTGTGGGACTGGGTTATAGTGACAATCTCACTATTATTATTTTATTTTCTTAAATCTCCAAATCCCAAGTAATAACGCATTTCAAACCACTTGTTAGCCTAATCAAGCTGGCAACTGAGTAGTAGTTTTGTTTTGTAGGCAAACAGTAAACTCTTTTGTTTCCTGATCATCATTTAATCTTTTTTCTATGATACTGAGTATGTTGAACCATCTAGAGTAAGCTTTCCCTTACTGTAAGTGACTTAAAACTGATTGTAGCAGTTCTAGTTATTTTAAGTAAAAATATCAAGGTACTCTGGTGGTGCAGTGGTTAAGCACTTGGTTGCAAACCAGAAGATTGGCAGATTGAACCCCCCAGCCACTCTGCAGGAGAAAGATGTGGCAGTCGGCGTCTATAAAGATATATAGCTCAGGAAACCCTATGGGCAGTTCCATTCTGTCCTCTGAGACACTGTGGGTTAGAGGCCACTCTACCACAGTGGGTTGGGTTTGGCCTTTGCTTCTGTGAAGATTGACTAGGAAACCCTGTGGGGCAGTTCCACTCTGTCCTCTAGGGGCGCTGTGGGTCAGAATCCACTCCACGGCAGTGGGTGTGGTTTGGGCTTTGCTTCTGTGAAGA